GAGTGACTAAAAAAAGAAGTTTAATTTTGTAACAGGAATCACGTCACAAGTTTTGCCGTTCTGTATCCGTACCATTTTCTCTCTCTGTACCATGAATAGTATGAAATGATCGTCCTTGCTCTCTATCACTCTCTATTGATGTAATTTGTTAGCATTATAAAGCCGCTTAAAATGTGTTTCATTCACCACACGCCCCCTCTCAGCCGCCCCTGCAGAGAGCGTGTGTACACAGGACATGCATGCCATCATCCCCTTACCAATGACACGACCTTTTGCAGAGCGTGCCAATTAACACATGTTTGTGACTTTTGTGTGACAGGTGACACCGGTTATAATGACATTCGGTTTTTCAACAAATACTGTATTTCTCTCGCGCAGTGACATTTAATGAGGGACACCGAACCCACCGTGACCTGCTTGTTTGCCGTGAACAGTAAAGCTGTTGGTGTTCTCTAGAGAGCATATTAATGGATTAGATTTTCATGTCTGTGAAAATTAATAATTTGAGCAATTACCCTTTTCATTATCTGGTTAATGGAGGTTATTATGGGCTACCTGTTAGACTCCTTTTGCCCGGGCTGATTAGGAGGGGATCTGTGGAGGCAAGACCTGTCAGCCTGCACAATAGAGAGAGCAGCAGTGACCATTCTTTATTACAGGAGGGGGCGGAGACGAGACCAGTCAGCCTGCACAAGGAGAGAGAACAGCAGTAAGCGGTCTTTATTACAGGAATGGGTGGAGACAAGACCAGTCACCCTGCACAAGGAAAAAGAGCAGCAGTGAGCGGTCTTTATTACAGGAAGCTCCAAGTGTCACACTGGATTACTGCACAGATCTGGAAGAAATACAAAACACTCACCATGATTCTAGGAAGTATACACATGTCTCTTGTATGAGGATAATATGCGCTGGCCCCAGAGTTTAGCTTTAACTAATTGGTGTCACATTGGAGTCTTTGTTCACGTGTTTTCTCTCTTCCCAACAGGCCATGACTTTCAAAAAGGAGCAAAGTGAGGAGGAGATCGATGAGATTCACCACCAATACAGTGAGTGACGACATTGGTTTTATGACTTTTTAAAGAATGGGCCTCATTAAAGGGACCCTGCAATGAGTTCTGCTAACAACAGATTAAAAGCTATAGATATTGAATAGCTGATTCAAAAATAGTGATTCCTGCAGTTTTGCCCATTTGTTGAGCTGCTCTGGGCGACTTTTACACTCTTTTCATCTTATGTTTAGTACATTTTGTCATTATATATGTTCGAGGGAACGGCCATGTTTTCTCATTACTGCTTCCTGCATGAAGTAGAGGGGAACCCAATCGCTAAAGTCTCATGTAAGCTTTAACATATCTTTGCATTTCAAAATCCATGTTCAATATTTATAAATCTGCAGCTTTCATTAAAATAATTCCCAGCGATCCTGCCACGATGGTCGTTGTCCAGGTACTTCTAGTTATAGGGGGATGTGTCTGCATTGTGCCACTGTCATTTGGGCTTCTGATGGCGACTACAAGTGGCCCATTCAGCACACGTTATGCAGCCACGGTTTACCGTGAGGGAAGGAAAAAACTTAAAGCGCAAGTTTAAAAAATAAAAGGAGTTTATTGAAAATAATAAACAAAATGGCAAAAAACAATGGAGAAAGTCATGGACGTCATCTGGGCCAAGCCAGAGGTCAGATGCCCAAACAGCTATTAGGCCGAACCAGGTCACGCTGAGAGCAGGATGAACAAAAACAATAGCTGGTGTCGGGAACCAGAAGATCAGTCAGCCAGAGCCAGGGTCATACACAGAGAACAAAGTCCATGAACCCATTGCACTCAAAAGTTGCTGGCAACGGCTGGCTACCGTGATCAATAGCAAGTAGCATATATATATGGACACCGACACTCCAATAGTTAACCAAATAAGTCTGTTTATTAACGTATGAACAGCATAACGTGATACGCTCAATGCAACATTTTGGGGTCTAACAGGATCCCCTTCACTTGTTCTGCCTGATGAATGGGATCCTGTGAGTCCCCGAAACGTTGCATTGCGTATCACGTTATACTGTTCATACGTCAATAAACAGACGTAATATTTTGTTCACTATTGGAAAGCCAGTGTTCATATATTCTATACACAGAGAACAGGAACAACAGCAGAGCACTTGGTTGCATCTGAATACAGGCAAGGGTGGAGACTGACAGGGCAAGCTGCTGGATTAATAGTGAACTGGATTTGCATTATCACTCAGACAGGAAGTTGTCAGGAGTTTGCCATTAGTTGCGGAATTATGATGTTTACGGGTTTAGTCATAAGGGAGCCAAAGAGGAACAACAGTGTCAGAAACAATGCAACAGAAGACAGGCTGCAGCTCAACAGGAAGGGTGAGAAACCCTGACACGCTGCCATCAGCAAACTTGTCATGTAGCCATCGCTGGAGTGTATGTAGACAGGAAGTGACTGCAGGAGATCAGCAGCACTGAGACATAACAGAGGATGAAGAAAGGTGAAATCCGTATTTTATATACAAAAAAGAAAAGGCAATTTTGTTTACAGTACACAATGCACTGAGCATCCTAAATGTCATTCAGTCTGGGTTTACATTCTCTTCATTGATATTGTGCAGTGACCTTTTTTTGTAGCTCACCGGACATCTCTTGCAGAATCCAACTGAGTTTTCAGTTTCAATTCAGTAAATACATTCCAGGTGCAAACAAACAAAAACTTTTAAGGTCTTTCAGTTCATTCTCATTAGAAAGCATCCTGATTAGAAAAGCCTGCCCCCTGCCAGCATGGCTGCCGAGGAGGATCCTAGCCCTCCGTGTGGAAACGGTTATCTCTCAGCCAAGGTCCAACGTACCCCCTGCAAAGTCAAAGTCGGGTCTCTAATCAGCAGAGAGCATTGCAGAGCTAGAAGTCTGACTGCTTCCACATAGAGAGCACGGGTCCTTGCAGGGGGCAGGCTTTTATACTCAGGTTGTGGCTGCTTTCTAAAGTAATATTAAACTCTCAATATTTCTTTTTTTTTAATATAATAAATCCAGATTAAACAAATATACATCGCCCAGGAACGTATTTATTTACATTTTTGCCCAAATACTTAGGCATGTTTCTCGCGGTATACTGAGACGCCGCAGCTGAAGCGGATCCCGACAATTGTGCTGGGATCCGCCCAGCTGCGTGACTGACATCTGGCTCTGCCTATCTAGAGGCAGAGCCAGCTGTACCCGCCCCCTCCCGCGTCCGTTCCACCAGTCAGCGCTGGCGGATCGGAGCGGGGAGGGGGGAATCCAGCCCCTCCCCTGTCACGGCAGAGAGCCGTGACAGGATCAAGAGGTGAGCGAACGCCGGTATGTGTTCGCTCACCTCCCGATCCACTGAGCCGACCTGTGACAGTCTCATTGTCACAGGTCGGCTAGAACTATGAGGTGAGTGAAAAGCACTCGCCTCATAGTTCTCCTTTAAAGTTGTCACCAGCGCACCATATTGAAGTGAAGAACACGTCTGTTTATTGACGCTTCATGTCAAAACAAATAGCAACGTTTCAGGGCCACACAGGGTCCCCCTCAATGGTCATTTCAAGCCTAAAGAAGGGGACGCTGTGTGGCCCCGAAACATTGCTATTTGTTTTGACATGAAGCGTCAATAAACTGACGTGTGTTCTTCATTCAAAATGGTGTGCTGGTGACATCTTCAGCATGCTCCCTATAGGTGGGACCCTAGATGAGGGAGCCCAATAGTGGAAGATGATGGCTCCTGCCACTGTTCACGGCGACTTTTCTGGGCTCCCCCGTCTGTCACCTGCAGCGCCTCTCTGCCGAAACCTAGAAAAGCATTTCACACGAACATTTGATTATTTTCTGATCTGACTCGTCCCGGCTCTTGTGAGGTTAAAGGGTTTGAAACGCAAATCTTTTTTTTCTTTTTTCTGCGGTCGGTTTCATCAGCAAAATTTTAATCTGCCAAATCAAAGTGTTAATTACCCGCTTGCGGTTTCAGGCTTCGGGTTTGTATCAGCCGTCAGCGAGACCTGCTGCCTTGACTGACGTTGTAATGACACAGCGTTCCGTTCTCCGGGTTTGATTCGCGCCTCCTCATGCTTCAGATACTGACAGGAGAAAACAAGAAGACGGTTATTAATACGGCATGTTCTTTATCTGACGCTCAGAAAATAGAACACAGCTAAAGGTCGATGGAAACCAGATCGCGTTTGTGTCGTGCGTCTTTTCAGACATGACAGTATTGTCACCCTGTTAGCGGTACAGCTCCTACACTGTTGTCTTCCAATGTATAATGTTCAGCCTGTGACTTTCTAGTTCTATCCATCTGCCTTGACTTCAGTCTTGTACAGTTGTACCGGCTCCTCTCCTGGACTGAAATGGCTTACTCTGATGTCACTGCACACTGTGAGCTTTTCACAATGTGCATTAGAAGCTGCAGCAAATCAGATAGAGCCCGCCTCATTTCCTGGCTGGAGTACATCCAGAACTTTCCTCCCCAGCCTGACTGTAGCTGGCCCGCCCCTTTTATTCATTTGGTTTCAGTTCTTTTAATCATGGAGGCTCAGCATCAGATGTGGGCGTTAAAGTGTTATTAAAGGAGAACTATGGGGTTAAGTTTTTTCCCCATAGTTCTCCTTAGGGTAACGGGAGGACACAAACTAGCGTCCTCCCGTCACCCTATGCTCAGTATACCGCGAGCTGTAGCTCGCGGTATACTGAGACGCCGCAGCTGAAGCGGATCCCGACAATTGTGCCGGGATCCGCCCAGCTGCGTGACTGACAGCTGGCTCTGCCTATCTAGAGGCAGAGCCAGCTGTACCCGCCCAGTCCGATCCGCCAGTCAGCGCTGGCGGATCGGAGTGGGGAATCCAGCCCCTCCCCTGTCACTGCAGAGAGCCGTAACAGGATCGAGAAGTGAGCGAACGTCGGTATGTGTTCGCTCACCTCCCGATCTACTGAGCCGACCTGTGACAGTGTCATTGTCACAGGTCGGCTAGAACTATGAGGTGAGTGAAAAGCACTCACCTCATAGTTCTCCTTTAAACCCTCCGTTTCTTTTGCATATATCTACTGCTAGCAAGTAGAAAAAAAAAAATCCCCGTTTTGAAAAGGGTTAATACTTACCTGTGTCTTCCCTGTGCACTCCCGTCCGAAAATGTGAAAATTCTCCGGCGGCCGCAAAGCATCTTGGGGCGGGCGCATGCGCTGTTTACACGAGGAGAGACACAAGGTAAGTCTATGGACGCGTGCACCCGCATGCAGACACCGTGAGACAGGAAGTGGCAGCAATCACAGAGGAGTCAGCGCTGGATCGGAGACCCGCCGCAGCTCTGGAGAGAAGGCTGAAAAGGACAGGAAAGAAGAAGATCGGATTAAGAAACATCATTTAAGGCAAGTGCTTTAATTAACATTAGGGGAAGGGAAGACGATTTTTTACTTTAATGTCACTTTAACGAGGGTGGTCTGTATGCAGATACAGACTGCTTAGGAACGCCCACTCCTTTCACACCGACACTCACCCATCAAGGCATTTTGATATTTGCACAACCCCTCCTCCTCCATTACATATGGGGATTACATAGGGAGGTCTGCATATAAATACAACCTGCCGGGGAATGCCCACTCCTCCAGACTGATACCCCCGCCAATGAAGGCATATCTCTACCCTGCCAATTTCAGTCATTGGATTTCAGTTCAATCATGGAGGCTCAGTATCACATGGGGGTGTTAACTTGGGCAGTCAGTCTGCAAATACAGAAGGCTTAGGGATGCCCACTCCTTTTCACAACGACACCTACCCATCAAGGCATTTTGATATTTGCGCAACTCCTCCTCCGTCACATGTGGGCTTTACCTAGACTAAACTACCCTACACGGGGCAACAATCTAAGGCCTGCAGACTGAGTGATCGTCATTGGGGTTGATAAACTTTCTACACAAAATAATAGCTGCCACCAGGAGTTTTATTGGAAACGCACACGGTTCCAACAAACGCTGTGACAATTCAAAAACATAAGCAATGCCTGTGATGATCACTGTCCTGTCAAACAGGA